CATGTCCCTGTGAGGTTCTTCCCTAGAGTCCCTCAAAAGGGTCTGGAGAGCTGGAAAGCGAACTCCTTACTTGTGGATGAGTAACTCTGAGGAGCTCTTCAGACATCGCCAGTTCAGCAACTTGGCCTCAGCTGAGCTCCTGCATCCGCCTCTGCCCCTTCCCAGCCCTGGGCACATTGCCGCTGTCAGCTGGTCACTTGATAATTTGCAGTTGACAGAGCACTTTCCTCATCTACCCCCTTCTGATCTTTGCCAGGCGGGCACGGAGACTACATGCCTCTCCACAGCCACCCAGCAAGTAGTGGGAGGGCTGAGTCTCAAAACCAAGTCTCCCGAATTCCAGTGGGCTGGAGGAGACTTTCACCCCTGTTTTACAGTTGAGAAAGGGGTACAGGGAAAGCAAAACAACCATGTGCTCAGTAGGCCCAGGCTCTGGGATCAGTCACCTTGGCTTTGAATCCTGACTCTCCATTTACCAGCTTTTGTCCTGGAGAAACTTTCTGACCTATTCTGGGCCATGGTATTCTCATCTGTAAAGCAGGGATCATAGAATGCCTATTTCTTAGGGTTTTTGTGAGAAATAAATGAGTTAATATAGGTAAAGTGCATAGAGCAAGGCCTGGAATGTAGTAAGTGCTCAATAAAGGCTAGCTGGTATCATTGTTGTTACTGTCATCACACTGCCTCCCAGGACCGGGGCAAGGACGCATTGAAATGCTCTATCACTAGAAAGAGAAAGAGGTTTGCAAACTTTGAAGTAATAAATAAGGTTAAGTATTATTTAATGCATCCTGGACTGGCAATATTGAGCAAACTGTTCTAGGCTGTTGAGCTAAGGACCATTCATGCTGAAGCCCATGTATCAGGTAATTAAATAAAAGAAACACCTAGAGGATTCAGGATACAAATAGACTCATGTCAGAGAAGCCTCCAGGTGAACTCTTTGGTGGCAGCTGTCTGACAGAAGTCACCCTGGGCAGTGGAGTTCACTGTTATTCTTGAAATCAGAAATCAATTAGATCACAGGGAGTTTGGCCACAGGGTTCTTGGGTTATCTTCTCCAAGCATGGGATTTTTGGAATGAAGTTTTAGAGGCTATTCTGGGAAGTTTGGCCTGTTGGAGGGCAGGAAGAATAGTCTGTGGCTCAAGAAGAGTAGAAAATGATGTAAGGGGAGATAAAATTAAAAAAGAAAACTAGGCAAAGGATATGTGGGAATTGAGAACACCCAGCTGGGCTGCTGACCTTGAGTGAGTGGATGGATGCATGGTGATTGGAAGGAAGATCTAGCTGTAAATAGAAAGCCTCTCTTTTCCCCTGAACTACCCAACACAGCTGATAGATTCGTGTAAGGCAAGCAGACTCAGAAGCCAAAATAGAAAAAGGAGATGTAGCAGGAATCATTGAACGCAGACAGGATGGGATCCAGACTTGAAAAGTACCAGCAATATGGTGGTGAGGCAAAGAAACAAGGGTTGTCTGTGGATGTGGAGGGACATGTCGAGAAGGGGGAAGGTGGTGTCCTGGAGACAGGCACAGCACGTGTTCCAACCTTTTAGCCACACCTGTTTTATTTTCTTTATTTTTTCTTTCTTTGCATTCCACCCATTTTTGCTCATTTGTAATTTCCCTAAAACTCCTAGAACTCCTCCCCTTTTGCTGATTTCATTCTCTCTGTATGCCAGTTCCACCAAGATCATATCCAAATAACTCAAAGGACTCACTTATTTTAAGATCCAGGATACATGTGTAGGACCCGCAGGTTTGTCACATAGGTAAACGTGGGCCATGGTGGTTTGCTGCACCTATCGACCCATCACCTAGGTATTAAGCCCCACATGCATTAGCTGTTTATCCTGATGCTCTCTCTCCCACTGCCTCCCCTGACAGGCCCCGGTGTCCTTTTAAACAAGACATGAAGATCATCAAAATAGGCAACTGCTTTCTCTGCAAGTCTGCAGTCACCCCTTTTGGCCACTAGATGTCGAGAACGCATCAATATGGCACATTTTCTGGTCCATTTTGTTATTTGGAAATGATCTTGGTGGAACTGGCATATAGATGGGGTGAAATCAGCAAGAAGGAGGGTTTTAGGAGTCTTAGGGAGATTGCAAATGAGAAAAAATGGATGGAAGGCAGAGAAGCAATCTTTCCAACAAGACCCACGAAGAAGAGTTGACTGCATTTTAAATCTATGTATTTTTTTACAATTTGGGAGATTTTTAGGATGAAGGAAGAAGGGAGAAACATGGCATAAAAATAAATATTCTTTACGTTAGTTAATTTTCTCCAGAGCTTGTAAGCATTTCCAAGTGAGTATGTTTAAGATTCTTAAACCCTGAGCCAAAATTAGGGATGATAATGATGATGGTGGTGGTGGTGGTAGCATCTGATAGATACCTCCATGGCTCTTACTATGCGGAAGGTATTGTTCTCAGCAATTTACAGAAATTGACTCATTTAGTACTCACAACAACCCTAGGAAGTGCTATTATTATCCCTGTTTTACAGCTGAGGAAGCAGAGGGCAGAGAGTTTGTATGACTTATCCAAGGTCACACAGCTGGTCAGTGAGAGCATCAGGATTCAGCCCAGACACTTGTCCATATTCTTACCTTCCATGATCTGTAATACATGTTGCCACATTGACTCCTGACCTATGGCAAAAGGAACTTTCTGAGCAATGAATCAATGCTGTGATTTAATAATAAAAATCACAGAGGCCAGGTGCGGTGGTCACACCTATAATCCCAGCACTTTGGGAGTCTGAGGCAGGTGGATCACCTGAGGTCAGGAATTTGAGACCAGCCTGACCAACATGGTGAAACCTCCATCTCTACTAAAATACAAAAATTAGCTGGGTGTGGTGGTGTGTGCCTGTAATCTTAGCTACTTGGAAGGCTGAGACAGGAGAACCACTCGAACCCAGGAAGCGGAGGTTGCAGTGAGCCAGGATCACGCCACTGCACTCCAGCTGGGCAACAAGAGTGAAGGTCTGTCTCAAAAAAAAAGAAGAAAAAAAAATTGGGATCACCTCACACCCCTTAGGATGGCTATTATGGAAAAAATAAAAAAAAAAAAAAAAAAAAAAGAAGTCACAGAATTCCTCATTCTAATAAACTCACTTCACAGCACTTCAAATGAGAAGGAATAAGATTTTAGGGTTGGCCAGGAATTCATTCTGAGTTCCCCGACCTACAGGGCTTGGTTAGATAGGAGCACATTTCATTCCCACGAGGAAGCCTCTGCTCTATTAGTTGTTGTAGTGATCCAAACAACAGAGGAGAATGAACAAGGCCCAGGAGCCATGGATTCCAGAAGGTTGTTTTTGTTCTTAGCTTAGAAAGATGTTCATAAACTTGGCATTGCAAAAGAAAAGTACATTTCTAGCTGGGGGCCAATAAAAATGCTGTTGGTATGAAGCGGCCCGGCCAATGCTCAGGCTACTAAAAGTATTTATGTCTGCTCAGAAAATGATAATGAATTTAAGAAATTTATTAAGGGCTGGATGCGGTGGTTCACATTTGTAATATCAGCACTTTGGGAGGCTGAGACAGGAGGATCACTTGAGCCCAGGAGTTTGAGACGAGCTTGGGCAGCATGGATGAACCCCATCTCTATTTATTAACAAAATGATACAGACAATCTAGGATGCTCTGGGAGAAAAAGTGGTGGATCAAAAGTGAGAGAACAGATTTCCAGTATAGTTAAATATATATTTACCATATGACCCTCCATCCCATCCCTGGTATTTACCTAAGAAAAATGAAAATACATGTCCACACAGAGAAATGTACATAAGCGTTCATAGCAGCTTTATTTAAAACAGCTAAAAACTATAAACAACTCAAGTAGCTATGGACATATGAATAAGTAAACAGATTGTGGCTTAGCCATACAGTAGAATATTTGGCCATAAAAAAAGAAGTTCTGATATGTACGACATCATCAGTTAATCTCAGGAAAGTTATGCTGAGTAAAAAGAGGGCTGTCCCAAAGGAGTTTATATTTTATGATTCCATGGAACTGGATTCTAGAACACACAAAACCAATCTCCAGTGACACAAGGCAAATGTGTGATTGGGGCTAGGATGGGGTCAGGGATTGGCTGCAAAGGGGCATGAGGGGTCTTTCTGGCACAGTGGGAGTTCTATATTTTGCTGGTGGTCCTGGCTACATGGACGCAAAGTCTGGTGGCTCTGCACTGATGCTTTGCGCCTCTGGGCCTCAGTTTCCTTGTTTGTCGAACTAGAAGGTTGTTAGATTAGATAATGTCTAGAATTTCTTCTGGCTCAGAAATTTTCCCTATAATAACAGTATCCATTTTTATTATGGAAGTAGAGTAGCAAAGTGCAATTTGCTTTATAGGAATTGTTTTTATAGGCAAGGATGAATTTATTCCAGAGAACATAGAGTATCTATTGGGTTACTTAATATTACTCATTTTGGGTACAGAGCCATTTGCAGCCCATTGCACTTCAGGAAACAGCTGAGAAATGATTTGTGTATAAGGAGGATGTTCCCCATTCGAGTCCCATGGGGATGTGAGGAGGGACCTTCCCAGTGGCACTGGGAGGAAAGGGAGGGAGGGATGGCAGAGTCACTGCTGGCAGGGCTAGAAAGGACAGCTGAGCAAGGTGCAGGCTTGCCTTGTCACCTCGGACAGTCCCCAGATGCCTGGAGTTGTGGTTACCCCTTTAAATTTCCTCCTTTTTATTTATTATTATTATTTTTTAATTTCCTCTTTACTGGCCCACACCTGGCTCTTAGTTAGGGCTTAGTGATGTTGCTGCTGCTGCTGCTGCTGGCCATTACCATCATCATCATCATTATCCAGTCCTCAGTCTGTACAAAAGTAAAGGAAGGCAGATGCGCAGAGCGTATTGTGGGACCAGGGCAGCGGCTGACTAGAGTGTAGGACTTGGTATGGAGCCAGGAGCAACAGGGAGGGCAGTAATGGGCCATAACCGGATGCTGATTTCCCCTATTCGTGTGCCCCCAGGTCATGAAAACCTACCACATGTACCATGCGGAGAGCATCAGTGCAGAAAGCAAGCTGAAGGAGGCCGAGAAGCAGGAGGAGAAGCAGTTTAACAAGTCCGGAGACCTCAGCATGAACCTGCTCCGGCACGAGGACCGGCCCCAGCGCCGCAGCTCCGTGAAGAAGATTGAGAAGATGAAGGAGAAGGCGAGTGGGGCCCTGGGCTGGGAGAGATCGGGGACAGGGCACAAAGGGAAGGGCCATGCTCTTGGAGGAGAGCCTTGGCCGTCCCGTTTATTCCCCTGCATCCCAGTGGGGTGGTAGGGGTTGGGGGTATGGGACAATGTAGCCAGCATCTCCTCTTTTGGAGGTCCATGGAAGCAGGGCTGGCCATGCCCCTGCTAGCACTGGTTAGGCCTGGCTTAGTGCTAAGGTCAGCAGGCAGAAGAGGGGCTCAACTCACAAGAAAGCGGAACTGTGACAAGATTCACGCCCAGCAAGCGCCTTCTCTCATGGGCTGGAATCATCAGGCATTAGTGGGAACAGGAGCTTGTTCTGGAAGCCAATTTGATGGCCGAGTTAGGGGCTGGGGGTGAGGTGGGAACTGATTACTGAATGTGTCTCAACAAGAGGCACCAGCACCTGGAAATACGGTGAAGGGCTGATTCCAAAATTGCCATTGCCAACTCAAAGACGAGAGAGTTAGAATCCCTGTGTATTGATTCTGGAAAAGTCCTTTAGTAGGGCATGGTGGAAGGAATTCTAACTTTGGAGTCAGTTGGGCTGGGTTATGAAAATGCCACATTTATAACACCTCTCTGAGCCCCAGTTTTCAAATCTGATAGGAGTGGCAAATGCGTCTCATCTCTCATGTCAACTCTGACCAATTGCCCAGAGTACTGGGTTGAGGATTGTGAAACCCTATCCAGGCTTAGTTAAAAACAGTGCTATAGGGCTGGAGACAGTGGCTTATGCCTGTAATATCAGCACTTTGGGAGGTAGAGGCGGGAGGGTCGTTTGAGTCCAGGAGTTCGAGACCAGCCTGGGTAAAATGGCAAAACTCCATCTCTATTTATGAAAAAAAGGGGAGGGGGCAAAGAACTTGAATAGATGTTGCTCTTAAAAAAACATATACGAGCAGCCAATAAGTATGTGGGAAGATTGTCTGGGCCAAGCATGGTGGTTCACGCCTTTAATCCTAACACTTTGGGAGGCTGAGGTGGGCAGATCGTTTGAGCTCAGGAGTTTGAGACCAGGTTAGGCAACATGGCAGACCCACCTTTACAAAAATAAAAGCATTAGCCAGGCATGGTGGTATGTGCCTATAGTCCCAGCTACTTGGGAGGCTGAGCTAGGAGGATCACCTGAACCTGGGGAGGTTGAGGCTGCAGTGAACCATGATTGTATAACTGCACTCCTACCTGGGCAACAGAATGAGACCCTGTAAAAAAAAAAAAAAAAAAAAAAATCGTCTGTATCATTAGTGATTAAGGAAATGCAAATCAAACTCAATAAAATATCACTTCACACCTGCTAGGATGGCTAGAATTAAAAAGGCAGACTATATGAAGTATTGGTGAGAATGTAAAGAAATTGGAATCTTCATACACTACTAGAGGGAAGGTATAATGATTCTATCACTTTGGGAAATAATGCAAATGTTAAACATAGACTAAGTTACCATGTGACTCAAAAATTTTATTCCTAGATATCCACCCAAGAAATAAAAACATATGTTTGTCAAAAACTTGTACATGAATAGCAGCATTATTCACAATAGCCCAATAAAATACAATAACCAAGCAGGGAATGATAGGACTACAACATAGGAAGAAGCAGAATTGAGTGCTAACTGGGAGTCCAGAGGCTGATTGTTAGTTCAGAGTTGTGTGTTTAGTTCGATTAGCTACTTGGCTCATGGGCAAACCACTTCTCTCCAGTTCTCACTTCCTCATCTATAAAACAGATGAGTTTAACGAAAAGTCCACGAACGGCTAAAAATGATCTGAGGGTCATGGTCATAGTGGGCCACTGGAAATAGGCCAAGAATATCAAAACTTTTTGTGGGGGTTGGGTGCATGGCTGGTGTGGAATGTAACTGGCAGGACCCTGGAGAAAAGTTACAGATCTCTGAAGAGAATTAAAATGTTGAGAACTCATTGTGGAATAGGAAGGTGTAAGAATGTCTAGATGAAGGAGGAAAACCATTTGTTTACAGAGACCTGACATTTTACCCAGCAGGGGTCTCTTCAGTCTGAAAGGGGCAGGGGACAGCGCTCCAGCCTGTTTACTCTTTCCTCCTCCATTCCCAGGCTGGCCCAGACAGGAGTAGCTCCCTGGGTGGCAGCTGGGTCCCAGCCAAGATGGGCTGCTCTGACTGCCCCCACCTCCTCTCCCCACCACGCCCATCCAGACAGCCATCCTCCTCCCTCCTGCCCTCCAGTCACTGAAAACCACCGAATACCTACATTGTGCAAGGACATTTCTGTGTGCACCAGACCTAGCAATGAACAAGGCAGATCAAGTCCCTAACCCCACTTACTTTCTAGTGGCAGGTCACTGACAATCAATGAGTAAATAAAGGAGTTTAAAAAAATGCAATTTCAGGTGGTGGAAGTGCTTGTAAAGAAAAGAGCAGGGCAGGGGTAGGTAGAGGGAGGGGGAGAGGTAGGTGAGCCTGTCGTCAAAGGCCGATCTGACCTTGAGACCTTGAGTCAGGACCTGAATGACGTGAAGGGGCAGGTCATGTTGGGATTTGGGAAGATGGCTGGCCGGGCTGAGGGAACCACGAGACTGAGGGCCTTGAGATAGGAATGAACTTGGCCTCTTAAAGGATGGACCAAGGGGGCTGAGCAAATGAGAGGGAGCATGGGGGAAGGTGGGGCTTGAGAAGTGGACAGGAGCCATGGCACGGAGGGCTCCTCAGGCAGGAGCAGCAGTTTGGGAAGTCGCTGGAGGGTGCTGGGTAGTGGTCTTATTTATTTATTTATTTATTTATTTATTTATTTATTGAGACAGAATCTCCCTCTGTCACCTAGACCTGGAGTACAGTGGTACAGTCTTGCTCACTGCAACCTCCATCCCCCTGGGTTCAAGTCATTATCCCACCTCAGGCTCCTGAGTAGCTGAGACTACAGGTGTGTGCCACCACACCCAGCTAATTTTTGTATTTTTAGTAGAGATGGGGTTTCACCATGTTGACCAGGCTGGTCTTGAACTCCTGACCTCAGGTGATATGCCTGCCTTGGCCTCTCAAACTGTTAGGATTACAGGCATGAGCCACTGTGCCCGGCCAGGGGTCTTATTTACACCCCACCCTGGCAGGGACCATCAGAAGGCTGCTGCTTATCTAGTGTCCTCATTGGCTGCACAGGCGCAATCTCAGGGGATCTGCCTGAGTCCAAGTCCAACCCTTTCCCGTCTAGCAGATGGAGGTCTTCCATAGGTGTAGCTGTGCAGGGCTTGGATGGTAAGCAGCTACCATAAAGAAAATAATTATCACTGAGCCAGTCATGGTGGCTCATGCCTGGAATCCTAACACTTTGGGAGGCTGAGGTGAGAGGATGGCTTGAGGCCAGGAGTTCCAGACCAGCCTGGGCAACATAGTGAGACCCCACCATCTCTACAAAACTTAAAAAAAAAAAAAAAAAACTGACCAGGTGTGATGGCATGCATCTATAGTCCCAGCCAGAGGTAGGAGGTTTGCTTGAGTCCAGGAGATAGAGGGTGAAGTAAGCTGTGATCACACCACTGTTCTCCAGCCTGGGTGACAGAGCAAGACCCTGACTCTAAAAAAATAAAAGAAAATCATAAGTCCTGTCCTCTTAGATGGCTTGCCCTTACATCTACTTTTTTCTTCTTCCAGAGGCAGGCCAAGTACTCTGAGAACAAGCTGAAATGCACAAAGGCCCGAAATGACTACTTGCTCAATCTGGCAGCCACCAACGCAGCTATAAGCAAATACTACATCCATGACGTCTCCGATCTGATCGATGTGAGCTCCCTAGGGAGGCTGGGACTGAACAGTGCCCATACCGGGGCTGGTGCATAACACTGGCTGAAGGAGGGGTTGATCTTTGTCTTTAGCTGACATTCTCGGATAGCCAGGAGTCTTTTGAGCCCTGCTGGAAGGGAAGGGCAGCGAATGTTTGGGAGCTGGAAAATGAGTGTTACCTCCTGGTGTCTATTTTCACTAGTGGGACATGGGCCTCTGGTGGCTCCTGTGCAGTTGGCTTGGGCAGTCGTATATCCAGTGCCAACTTCCCAGGTACCCTCCTGGACACCAGGTGCTTTGCTGGGTTTGAGGGGTTCAGGGGTGAACCATATACAGTTCATGCCTTGGCGGATTTCTCAGTGTGATAAAGGAGATGTTATTAGTAATATGTTTAGCGCCCCCAGGGCCGCTCGGCCAGACACACATACATGTGAAGGAAAATAGCAAATGAGATAGAATTAATTATGCGGATCAGCTTTGTGTAGGGAGGTTATCTTGGGAGAAATTGGGGAGCTTAAGCAAATGGAGAACAGAACACTGAATCCCCAAGTACCAGCTGTGCAGGACACGCGGCAGGGACAAGCAGACTAGGAGAAAGAACACTGAGTGGTGGTGCTGGCGAGGGCTTCTGTGTCATCTAAGTGGGAGCCAGGACTGGGTTTCTCTTGTGTCCCTCTTCCTGCACAGATGGGGGAGCTGACCCTGTCCATGCCTAGTAAGGGCTTGGTACTGGTTGATGAGCCCTTTTCCTGGTGTATCCTATCAGGAAGTCAGGGGGCTCCTGCTATTCCCATGGTTCCAGAGGGGGACCCATTGTCAGCATCACAAGGAAATGGAGCTCCCAAATGGCCCAAGGCCAGACTCTCCTCTTTACTACCTTTCAACTTTCCTTTTTGCTCTTTCAGCCCTTTTATTCATTCATTTACCATATCTTAATTTGAGCACCTGCTGTGGTCTAGAACTTGAGGTGCAGGAACCAGTGGGTCGGCCCTCGGGGAGCTTACCTTACCAAGGACATGTTGATAGGTGATTTTAATACTAAGTGGCAAGGGTCACAGTGAGGGAAGTGGAGGGAAACGTGGACACTTGGAGTAGGAACACCTGACCAACTCTGAGTGGGGAGAATATCAAGGAAGGCTTCCTGGAGGAAGTGACCTCTAAACTGAATTCTGAAAGAAGAGTATTCCAGGTGGAGGGGATGCATACACACCACCTTAAAGAAGAGAAAGATGGTGAATGTAGGGAGCTTAGTTCTGCTATTGCCCATATCTCCACTGCAACTCCCCCTGAGGGCCACGGTGCTGTTTGTGCGGTAGGATTCCAAAGTGCCTCGGGACCTCTGGGATAGAAGATTCGGCTGTGGAAAGGGAGGTAGTCATAACACTGTGGTTGCTGGTGACCACCCCTCCACGTCCCGACTCTCACCCGCATCCTTCTGTTGTTGCCTCTCCCCAAGTGCTGTGATTTGGGCTTTCATGCCAGCCTGGCCCGCACCTTCCGGACCTACCTCTCAGCTGAATACAACCTGGAGACGTCTCGCCACGAGGGGCTGGATGTCATTGAGAATGCGGTGGACAACCTGGATTCCCGAAGCGACAAACACACAGTCATGGACATGTGCAACCAGGTCTTCTGCCCTCCACTCAAGTTCGAGTTCCAGCCCCACATGGGGGATGAGGTAGGCTTCCCCCAGGAGCCTGGGCTTGGGGCTGCCTCCCTCTCTTCTCCCATGTGCTCCAGAACATCAGCCCTGGTTGCACATACAGGAAGTTTCTATCCGAGGCCTGGGGTCAAGCTCTTGGTTCATAGGCTTCCCCAGCCAAGGAGTTTACCACTAATACTCCAATCTTGTGGTCTCAAGTCCCCCCTGTGCATAATTGCAGGACCTTGGCTTCCCTTAAAGCCCCTCCCAGTTATGTCTAGAATACTCTAAGGGAGCCCCAGTCTGCACCCAGGCTCATGTTCTTCCCTTAGATGCCCAGGTGAGGTGCATGGGAAGCCTGAGCCTCACCACAGCCATTCAGGCTGGCGCATTTCACCAGGGTGTGGGCAGAGCTCCCTTCCTTCAACACTGCAAGCCTTTGATACACCAGACAATTGAGTTCCTTCAGTGCTTGTGCTGCTCAGATCCTTATTACATTCTGAAAAACACACACACACACACACACACACACACACACACACACACACACACACACAAAAACCCCAAAAGAAAACAAGTGAAAAACAAATGGGAAGAAGACGACCCTGTCACTGGCCCTAACACAGCCCTGCTAGTTACCCAAGGCTTACAAAATTCCTTACGCAGTAGTTCCTTGAGTTTGTCTGTGTCATTGCTCCCTTTGGGCATTGAGGGAACCCATTTGAACAGTGTCTCAGACCCAGCCAACCTCTGGGTCCCAGTGAGGCTCAGCTGGGCCGTCTGTGGTACTTGCTGGAATGGGAGGGGTGAGGAAGCTTGAACCCAGGAGGTGGAGGTTGCAGTGAACCGATAAGGTTCCACTCCAGCCTGGGTGACAAAGTGAGACCCTGTCTCAAAAAAAAGAAAGCTCTCACCTAGTCATTTGCTGGGGGATGAGGAGCTATGAGCTGTGAGAGTGCATTGTCTCAGGGTTGCCCCAGTGCAGCATTGGTCTGCAGCACAGTGAGCACACCCCTGGTCATTTCTCACTTAGGTTTTTTTTTTCTATTGGTTTCTCTTAGGTGGTTGCTTTCCTGCCACAACTTCTCGCCTTGAAATTAACCAATTAGTTTTGCTTAATAAGAGTATGTTAAGGTTCTTTGTAAGCCTTCAAGTGCTTCCCAAATGTAGATCATGACGGAAAGGCCACACCTGGCAATGGCAAGAGGGCAGACTTTGAGTAGGGAGACCCTGGTTCTCATCTGGCTTTGGTTGCCACAGCCACGTATGAGCTCTGTGACCATGGGCAGGGCACTCAACCTTTCCGAGCCTGTTTCCTGGATTGGGATGTTAATGGTAGCCCTGCCCTAGCTCCACACAGGTGAGGAGGGCACAGGGCAACCACAGATGGTGGCTGTTATTCCTGCAGGTATGCCAGGTCAGCGCTCAGCAGCCCGTCCAGACAGAACTGCTCATGCGGTATCACCAGCTGCAGTCCAGACTGGCCACCCTCAAGATAGAGAATGAGGAGGTGAGTGAGTGCCTCTACCCTGTAAGGGACTTCCTTTGGAAGGCTTGGCTTGTCCCGGGGAGTCTACTTGTGCCATGGAATGCATAAGAAATGATGGCTCCATTTATAAGATGGAATAGTACACAATCATTAAAACCACACACACCAAGAATCACTAATAGCCTGGGGGAACACTTATATGATGTTAAATTGAAGGAAAACAAAAGGCGGGAGACTGAGGCAAGAGAATTGCTTGAACCTGGGAGGCGGAGGTTGCAGTGAGCTGAGATCATGCCACGGCCCTCCAGCCTGGGTGATAGAGTGACGCTCCATCTCCAAAAACAAACAAACAAACAAAAACAAAAGGAAATAGGAGCCTATGTTCTGTATTGCCATAACTGGAGTAAACTAAAGCATGCGTATATTCCTAGGCATACAAAAAAGACTGCAGGGAAGTGCTTGAATGCTATTAGTTATTAGGTTTGGGTTGTGGGGTGATAGGTGCTTTCTGTTTACTTCTTTGAGCTTTCTTTTGTTTTCTGCAATGAATTTCTATTTTATCATTAGAAAATACACTAGCTATTTTAAATTACACAATGAAATAAACAACCAGGGAACACTAAATGTGTCATAGATTCTGAGCTCCAAGGAACAGGTCAGTCTTAACAGGCCCAGCCTCCCTCCCCTGTAGCTGGGGGGCATAGGATTCTCAGCAGGTGGGTGCAGATGGAAATACCAGTGCAGTGGCTCTGTTCTGATGTGGACTGAAGAGGCCACATGGGAAACATCGTATTCCAACCTCCTCCTCCAAAGAGGATGTCAACTAACTGGAGGCCCCTGGAGAAAGGACATCAGGATGCGGGGAGTGACACTCAAGGTCATGGGCAGGTTTATTCTTGAAAGTGCAGTCATAGTGGGAGGTGGGAAGATACAGTCCTGGTCTTCAAATCTCAAGAGTGCTATCCTGGGCAGAGAGGGCAGCTTTGCTTTTCATCTCCGCAAAGGACAGACCTAGGACAAATGTGAGACAGATTGGAGCTCAGGATGATAGCAAATCAGTGCAGTCCCTGGGGGGAGGTTGTATGGAGACAAATTATATATTTGTTTTTCAAACCTGGCAAGAGACAGGAGATGAACAGTGTGTTTTCTTTATTTATTTAAGCCCTACATCTTCCCCCAAAGGATTTTAAATTGTTTACATGGAATAGTATATGGATCATAACATTAATGGAATTTAACTTGGAAATCAGGTCCAAAGAAAGGAGAATGAAGCCACTGTTCCTCTGTATGAGCTTCTAACAGGCTTGAGTATGCTTAATTTTGAACCCAAGCTTCCTGTCTTGCTGCGTTAGAAAGAATTGATTCGTGTATTCATTCAACAGTATTAATTCAAGTGACATTTATTCAAATATTTATAGAGCACATACTATGTGCCAAACATTATAGAGAATAAAGTGAGTGAACATAACACAACATAGCACCTTCTCTCCAGGAGGGAATATTCTCATGAAAAAAGACAGATGATAATTAAAACTGTCAACAGAGAGAGTCAAACTCCATAAAATACTTGAGGAGATTTATTCTGAGCCAAATATGAGTGACCAAGGGCCTGTGACACAGCCCTCAGGAGATCCTGAGAACGTATACCCAAGGTGATTGGGCCACAACTTGGTTTTGTACATTTTAGGGAAATGTAAGGCATTGATCAATACATGTAAGATATATTTGGTCTGGAAGCAGGGGCTTTCAGGTCATAGGCAGATTCAAAGATTTTCTGATTGGTGATTGGTTGAAAGAGTTAAGTTATTGTCTAAAGAACGGAATGTCTGGGTTGAGATAAAGGGTTGGGCAGACCAAGGTTTTATCATACAGATGAAACCTCCGGGTAGTATGCTTTAGACAATAGACTGTAAATGTTTCTGTCAGACTTAGAGTCTGTTCTAACAGTAATATCAAAAAGGAGGTGGGTATAATGAGGCAGGTTTGCCTGCCCCTTCCCTTCATGCCCTGAACTAATTTTTCAGGTTAACTTTGGAATGCACCTGACCAAGAGTAGAGGTCTATTCAGATGGATGAGGGCTTAGAATTTTATTTTTCATTTACAAAACACAAAAACAAGCCGATAAATGAATGAGCTTGGAAAATATTAGACAGTGATAGGCACTGAGTGAAGAAATTGGGGGGACTGATGTCACCAGAAGGTGACATTTAAGCTCAGGTCTGAGTGACAAGAAACAGACCATGAGTGACAACAATTTTATACAAACATTGAGGCAGTTTTTCCAGGGACTGTTTTTGGAACTAGCCTCCAAAGCAAAGAATCTGCCCTTTAGGCACAGTTGCACAAAGGGGTGTTGGGACGTCAGGGTCCATGGGCCCTGTTTTTGCAGGCTTCTGGTGATTCCTCAAAATTCCAGGAGAAAAACTGGAGTCCTAACTGAATAATGTGTGCCTCAGCAACTGTCTTCCTGGAATTTTCTTTTCTCAGCCGGGCTTTTGATAGGAGTCCAGCAGCAGATAGCTGGAGAGTTTGTTCATGATGGATGTCTGCCCACCATTGTCAACTTTGTCTCTATCCTTCTCTGAATGAAGAGAACTAGAGCATGTCTGTTGTTCCTACTCACCTGACCACCTTGCATTGGAGGAGCTAGTTTGCAGTTACATAATTAGGCCAGGAGAAATAGACCTAGAAACCTGGGTTCCTCATTTGTCACAACATTCCTCAAGATTCTCTCTGACATAAGCCATGCAATAAAATGTCTTTAAATTGGGAAACCTGGCTTCTGATCCCAGCCAGCTGTGTGATTTTGGGCTGGTGACTAATTTGTGTTTTCCACATTAATACAGTGAGAAGGATTATTTTGGTTCTGCCTATATCCTAGGGACTTTATATGGAAGAAGTAAAGTGGCAGTTGAAAAAGGGACTTCAGGTGTCAACAACAGTGTGAGAATACAGGACTTTTGTCAATCTGCTGTGTTTCCGCAGGTTAGGAAAACCCTGGATGCCACCATGCAGACCTTGCAGGATATGCTGACGGTGGAGGACTTTGATGTCTCCGATGCCTTCCAACATAGTCGATCAACGGAGTCTGTCAAGTCCGCTGCCTCTGAGACCTACATGAGCAAGATCAACATTGCCAAGAGGAGAGCCAACCAGCAGGAAACAGAAATGTTTTATTTTACAGTAAGTGTCATCCTAGACCCAGAACCACACTGTCTGCTGACCCACTGGCAGTGACTTTTCAGGAGCAACCCAAGCGACTGACAGCCAGAGAAACTATATGGGTCAGTTGGACCTAAGACTTTACCACCATGCTTTTAAAATTAAGTTGCCTGGCTTGGTTTTCTGAAATGCAGAAAGTGAATTCCCAATGGGTAGCATCGGCATTGATCTTGGGTGATGATTATTGAAATTTTTTTGCTCTAGAAAAAAAATGGAGACAATTTTATTCAGTGAGGTGATAAGAAAATGGCTAACAGCTTCAGGAACAAGTCCCAAGTAATAACCCTAAAATTATATATATAGATTATCATGTTGAATTGTCTTAAATTTAGTTGTGGGCTTTGGAAAAAATGTCCTCAAACATATATGTCTCTGAAAACTGTCAAAGGCTCTGCTGGATACAAAGGGGAGTGACTTTTTTTTTTTTTTTGAAACAGAGTCTCACTCTGTCACCCAGGCTGGAGTGCAGTGGCGCGATCTCGGCTCACTGCAACCTCCGCCTCCTGGGTTCAAGTGGTTCTCCTGCCTCAGCCTCCCGAGTAGGTGGGATTACAGGCATGCACCACCATGCCTGGCTAAGGTTTCTTTTTCTGTATTTTTCATAGAGATGGGGCTTTACTGTGTTGGCCAGGGTGGTCTCGATCTTCTCACCTTCTGATCCACCCTCCTCGGCCTCCCAAAGTGCTGGGATTATAGGTATGAGTCACTGTACCCGGCCCAGGGAAGTGACTCTTAATGGCCAACAGGCCAGGTCATCGAAGCCAAGGACCATGGAAAAGGAGGGGGGAAACCACAACCTCCCACCAGCCCAGTCATTCCAGAAACCCATCAGGGTGGGCCAGTGTGAGATGACCCCAGTCTTATTTGTATATATGTCAGCCCCAACTCCAATGGCTCTTTCCCCACAGCTGTCAATGGGAAGGTGGTGACGTTAGAGACCCTCCTCTACACTTTACTTGGGGGTATCTGAGCCTCTGCAACTCACTTTTCTCTGCCCCTTTTTTAGAGTGCTGGCTGGGGCAATAGAGTGGATTTCTCTTTGAGAAACTAGCAGATAAATTTGGGGCAGTCACATCTACCTCCTTGACTTTATCCTCAGCTTTTGTAACTGCCATGTCCCTTGCTTGCAAGCTCCTTCCCGCAGGTCCCCACATGGCCCCCTTTCCACCTTCTTCAGGCTTTGGCTCAAATGCCCGCTTTGCAGGGAGGTCTTCCTGGACTTACAGTCCACCGTTCCCACTTTATTTTATTTATTTACTTTTTTGGGAGATAGGGTCTCACTTTATTGCTCAGGATGGAGTGCAATGGCATAAACATAGCTCACTGCAGCCTCGGCCTCCTGGGCTCAAGTGATTCTCTCACCTCAGCCTCCTGAGTAGCTGGCACTACAGTACACATCCCCATGCCTAGCTAGTTTTTTAAACTTAACTTTTTTAGAGACTTGGTCTTGCTAAGTTGCCTAGGCTGGTCTTGAACTTCTGGCCTCCAGCAATCCTCTCACCTCAGGCTCCTGAGTAGCTGGAATTACAGGTGTGAGTCAACATACTCAGCTCTGCTTTCTTTTTATCCATAGCATTCACCACCACCTGACCAAGTGGTATCTTACTTACCGTTTTTGTTCATTTATTGTTTCCTTCTCCACCCAACCACATAAGCTTCAAGAGGGCAGGAATCCATTGAAATTTTTCAGCACCTACTCTAAGCCAGTCACAGCTTTAGGCACTGGGGAGCCGGAGATGAGCTGGGTGTGGAGTCCACCCTCTAGCAGCTGGCCATGCAGCAGAGGCATGCCTAGCGGGGCTCTGGGACTGTGTGGGTGGGGGAAGCTGGTACCTGTATAAAAGTGGCCGAGGCCCAGGCTGAGTTCCGAGCAGGTAGATGTGTTTCTGTCTGGCCTGTTCTCTGTCCCTCAGTGCTGCTGTAAGGTGCACTGCATTGGCCAGGGCCCTGAACTAGGAAACAGGCTGGGGCTAGGGCCTAGCCCATGGCTGACTTTCCATGGGATCTTGGACAAATCACTTCCTGGTGCAAACTTAATTTTTCTCATCTGTCCAAAGAAGAAAATCCTATTGCCCACTGCAATTTGGGTTATTTTAATGGGAAAGCCGCTCAGGGGACTGCAGACCCTTTCTCCTTCAGAACCGGCCAGATGAAAGGAAGAGTTGTTCCAAGCCTTCTCTCTGATAGATCCGATAAAGCTCTCTGGCCTCGGCTGCGTGGACCCTGGGACGGCTCCCATTTCTGTACTCTTGGCACAGAAGCACAGTGGAGCTTTGATGACTTCAGAGGCCCTTTGCTTTGTCTCCACACAGACCTTACCTGACAAAGGCAGCTTTCAGTGCTCCCATTCTCCCCAGAACTGCTTTGTATTCCTAACCCCTTACCTGAAAGGCCAGGAGCCTTGCAAGGAGCTGTCCTCCACATGGCAGCGCTGGGGATCTAGATGGAGGAAAGCAAAGGCGCAGACGCAGAGGTCTCTCTGTTCCCTGCGCCAGGGTCCCTGCAGGTGACGTGATCTCTCTTCGGCTTTCCTGTCCCAGAGGTCAGTTGTAGAGGCAGAGATCCCATTACTTGGCCTTCCAATCTATAACTTCCTTGTGCCTTGTGTCTTACAGAAATTTAAAGAATATGTGAATGGCAGTAACCTCATCACCAAGCTGCAGGCCAAGCACGATTTACTCAAGCAGACCCTGGGCGAAGGTGAGTGAGGGCCTCCCAGAGGCCCTCTGGGAGGAGCTGTGTTCCCCACTGCATTTCGCTGTTACCCTCTGACGTGTTGAGCTGTTTAAGGTTGAGGCAGCGGGCACCTGGCAGAATGAATCTGGACTTCCCTACCAGGACTGGGCAGGCTGGGAAAATCACCTGGGTACTGATGCCTTGAGGGGTCCAATCTGGCTATAGAAAATAGAGGGTGTGACTTGCTTTTTGATTAATAGAAAGAAAAATAAATAAATAAGGCAAAAAGAAAATAGAGGGCAACCACAAGTCTTGGTTTAGGTTGGCAGGGACGGTCCAAGGCAAAGTGATAGAGTGGCCCCCATCAGGTAGGGAGTGGGAATCCAGGGCCTCAGAGGCCAACACTGACATTTTTCAGCAGACACTATTTGCAAGGAATACTACTGGAGGGTCTTGTCAGGGTTCTAGGTCCAGAAAAGGAAAATCCATACATGTAGGTCAGGGTTTGGTCCTTGAGGGAGCTGGAGACTAGGCTGAAAGCCACCCAATGACTTCCGTTGGGGGTTGGAATAAAATCCCAGCTGCTCCTATGACACGTGAGGCCTTACAGCACTTGGCTTCTGCCTGCTTCCCTGACCTCATCCGTCATTCTCCTCTCCCTTACTGTGCTGCAGCCATGCTGAGCAAATTTCTGCCCTTCAGGACTCACCAAGCTTATTCCTGCCCTAGGGCCTTTGCGTCTGCATGGGTAACCACCACCCAAATCAGGGGATAGAGCATTTCTGTCACCCTCAAATATCCCTTGTACTCCTTTGCAGTCAGCCCCCTATGCTCTACTCTGCTCTGTTTCTGTCACTGCAGATTAGTTCTGTGTGTTCTAGGTAGTAAGGGCTGGGGAGCTTTGGGGGCTGATGGAAATAAATGTTCCATATCCTGATTTGAGGAGTGATTACACATGGGGGTAGACATTGGTTAAAACTCATTGATTGGGGGATAGGAATGGGGAAGACTTAGTTGCAGTGAGCTTTTTCTTCATTCTTTCCCTCTAAATTTTACCCATACCAACCCTTCAGTATCAGGCCAGGGTGTAAGGGGGATGTGGAGGAGTATGGGTAGCAAAGAGGGAAGAAAAAAAGTGAGAATGGAGGAGAAAGGAAGAAAGTCCAAGAGTGGAGCTCAGGATGTATGTGCGTGAGGGCAGCTTCTAAGACTAGCATTAAAGAGGAGGATTGGTGTTTATAGGCACAGGGCAGGGGGCTGTTCCTCATGAGCCAGGTAACAAAAGGCAGGACCATATGAGTAGGTGGCTACTTGCATTTTTGAAATCAGATGCTGAGTTTAGAAAGCTAGATCTTTTTTAAAAAAAAAAAATAAGGTCCTGATCCTGGTGCAGTGGCCTGCCCACACCTTCTTGGCGCAGAAGCACAGTGGAGCTTTGATGACTAAAGAGGCCCTTGGCTTTGTCTGTCGGGTGCCCTTACCAGACAAAGGCAGCTTTTCCTTTCATTGCTCCCATTCTCCCGGGGCTGCTTTGTATTCCCAACTCAAATGATGATGATGATGATGATGATGATGACAGTCATCATCATCATCATCATCATCACCATATTTAGTTTTGGTTGGCATAACTCCTGGTCCATTTGGTCCTCCAGGTTTATTTAGCCTTCAACTATGCCTTGCTCTAAGATGGCTTTACCAGTCCCTCTTCTGAGTTTTGAGCTGATTAGCAACAAAAAACTCCTGGAAAATGCAGTTTCAGAAGTAGAGGGACAGATAAGAAAAAGCCATCTGGAAGAATCTCTGTACTCCCATGTTTCTGTGAGCTGGCCGTGGAAAGGCTCACTGTGCTTCCTTCAACAACTGGATGGTTCTTGATAGACTGCTCAGTTCTAGAGAAGTTTTTTTTGTCTGTTTTGTTTTTTAAAAAAGAAAACTTTCTATTTTAAAGCAGTTTTAGAGCTACAGAAAAGTTGGGAAGATAGTACGAAGTTTTCATATACTCTACATCTAGTTTGCCCTATTATTGACATTTTACATTAGTATGGCATATTTGTCAGCATTAATGAATACTGATTCATTATTATCAACTGAAGTTAATGAATTACTGAATGACTGGAAAAGGTGAAAGCTGAGTAAATTGAGACGAAATCTCTAGTCATTTTTATATAGCCACTATACGATAAAGATACATGTAGATTCTTAGGGCATTGAGTGAAAAGGGAGAATTTGCAACCAGGAGAATTTGCACTGACCTAACTGATAAATTGGAAATTGCCTATTGGGGGAAGGAATGAGAGAAAACAAAAAATCAGCAAGCCAAAGAGAGCTCAGAATCTTAGCGAATTCATCCTTCTGAGTGTCAACTGGTGACTCACCTTTTCCTGAGCATTTTGGTTCTTCTATTCAGTAGAACTCTCTAAGAGTAGGGTAGGGTTACAGCTGCATCAGTGGCCTTTTTATGCCATGTGAGGGCTATTTTGTATTGGGAGGGGATGAACTGGAAATCTTGAAAGCAGGTGAGAAATATGGAGCCAACAGTATATTTTGGCTAGAAAGATACAAGGCTTCTTTTCTTTTAAATGAGTTGAAGTATCATATCTAGTGCCTCAGCTTCTCTAAAGTTCAGTAGCTTTCCTTTATTTGTGGCCTTGCCTTCCATGGTTTCAGTTACTTGTGGTTAACTGTGGCCTGAAGATATTGTGTGTTCTGGGTAGTAAGAGCTGGGGAGCTTTGGAGGCTGATAGAAATAAATGTTCCATATTCTGATTTGAGTGGTGGTTATACATAGGGGTAGACATTTGTTAAAACTCCTTAATTGAGGGATAGGAGTGGGGAAGACTTAGTTGCCGTGAGCCTTTTCTTCATCCTTCCCTCTAAATTTAGAATGGAAAATTCCTGAAATAAACAATTCATAAGTTTTGAATTTCTCACTGTTCTGAGTAGCACGATGAAATCTTATGCCGTCACACTCCATCTCCACAAGGACATGAATCCTCCCTTTGTCCAGCATATCCACCCTGGATTTGGTACGCACCTACTAGCCACTTAGTAGCTGTCTTGGTTATCAGATCGAAAAAACAGAAGGCGTGTAGGATTTGGGACTATCCACAGTTTGAGGCATCCGCTGGGTCTTGGAATGTATTTCTCACAGGTAAGCGGGGACTACTGTACTCTTTTGACAGGATGGCTCAATGAAACTACAAGTTAGATGAAACCCCAAGGTCTTTTTGGTCAGCTTTACTTAGAAGCAAATTTGAGAACATGATTGACCCCAAACACACAAGTCAAAAAGCTTCCAGGTGCTCGGCAAATAGCATTCACTGTTACAAAGGATGTCACTGGCGCCTCTTGGGAGCAAAAGCACACACATGCTGGCTGTCACTATGCCATTTTATTGGTCAGAGAATTCTCAGTTCATCATCATCGCTGAGTTATAGACTTATGACCTTTTTATTGCTCTGGGGTGTGGGTAGTTTGTAAGCTCTAGGGTTTACACTCAAGGTTATGGGTGGTTTTTCAATTTCTGAAAGCCCTTCAAGGATGAATGAATAGTACACTGCCTATAGAAGAGAAGAAGCATAGCTTTTTCAGGCCAAGATGTAATCACCCATTATAGAGCAAAATGGCCACCAGGACCAGGCCATCTGACTTTCTAGAAAATGACTGAACCAGCAACTGTAAAATATATTTTAAAAATATATTTTATATTTCACATCCTGAAACCTTTGATTTCTACCTGCCCCCATCTGTCTATCCAAGGACACAGGCATTTTGTTTGGCCAGGCCTGGGGAGATAGTGGTATGCAGAAAGGTAAGGTCCCTGCCTTCATGGAAAAGAGAGACCTCAAATGGTAAACAAATACTAAGTAAAGAATGATAATTGAGCTGGGTGTGGTGGTAGTCCTGTAATCCCAGCTACTCAGGAGGCTGAGGCAGGAGAATTGTTTGAGGCAATGCAGTGGAGGCTGCAGTGAGCCAAGAGCATGTCGCTGCATTCCAGCCTGGGCAACAAAGGAAGTCTCTGTCTCTTAAAAACAAAAACAAACAAACAAAAAAAAACGGGGAATAGGGTGGGGGGTGGGGGTTATAATTGTGTTAAGTGCCATGAGTGAAAAATTTGAGATAGAGAACAATCGTATATATGTTGGGGAGAGATGGTGGGGGGACCTGCTTTAGATAGGGTGATCAGAGAGGCTTCCTAGGGGAATTACTCTTTCAGCTGAAACTAAAGGATGAGAAGGTGTCAGTCACGTGAAAAACCAGGGAAAGAGTTTCTGGGGAAGAGGGGACAGCATTTGCAAATGCTGGAAAAGATGTGGTGGGTTAAAAGAATTGAGAGAAGGGCATTGTAACTAGACCATGTTGAGTGCATAGAAGAGTGGACAGCTTGGGAACCCAGAGGAGGGGGAACAGGAAATTAAGCCTCCTTGTCCACTGTAATCTCAGGCTATTGCCTGACCACTTTCATGGGTTGCCATCTGCTCTAACAGGAAGGCTTGAGTTTACCTGAAAATTTTACCCAAACTGGTGTCTGGTAGGAATTTGCTCTTGACTCCAAGCACACAGTCAAATCAAACAGGACAAATTTCCCTGTTTTTTTTTGTTCGTTTGTTTTTTAAGATGTGATCTCGGCTCACGGCAACCTCCGCCTCTTGGGTTCAAGGGATTCTCCTGCCTCAGCCTCCTGAGTAGCTGGGATTACAGGCACCTGACACCATGCCAGGCTAATTTTTATATTTTTTTAGTAGAGATGGGGTTTCATCATGTTGGCCAGGCTGGTCTCGAATTCCTGACCTCATGATCTGCCCACCTTGGCTTCCCAAAGTGCTGGGATCACAGGTGTCAGCCACTGCACCTAGCTGAGCTTACCTATTTTACCTAACCTTTCTCCTTCCCTGCTTTGGTCTTTGCTTCCAATTCCACCGATGTAACTGCTTGTGGCTTTGCTCAGGAATTAAGGAGTTTCCTGTTGATTTGCCTCTAATTCTGTTTTCAGACCCAGGTTACCCTCTTCCTCTCCTTATTTCCCTTCCTGGTCCCATTCTGCCTCTTTTTTATTTTCTCTTTTTTCTTCCTTTTTTTTTTTTTTCTGTAGAGAAAATGCTCGATTCTTTCTTCTAAAGTTCTCTTAATGTTAATGCTGGGTGGGATTTCAGAGTTGAGAGCTGTGCTGTCCAGTATGGTGGCCACTAGCCATGTGTGGCTGATGAAGACTTGAAACATGGCTAGTCTGAATTGGGAGGTGCAATATTAACACCAGATTTTGAAGAGTTAGCACAAACATCCACACAAAATAGAAAATATCTTATTAATTTTCTATATTGATACATGTTGAAATGATAATCGTTTTAATGGGTCAAATGAAATATATCACAAAAATTAATCTCACCTGTTTCCTTTTTTTTTTTTTTTTTGAGATGGAGTCTAGCTCTGTAGTTCAGGCTGGAGTGCAGTGGCACAATCTCAGCTCACAGCAACCTCCAACTCCTGGGTTCAAGCGATTCTTGTGTTTCAGCCTCCGAAGTAACTGGGATTACAGGTGCCCGCCACCACACCCAGATAATTTTCGTATTTTCAGTAGAGATGGCATTTCACCATGTTGGCCAGGCTGGTCTCAAACTCCTGACCTCAAGTGATTCACTCACCTCAGCCTCACAAAGTGCTGGGATTACAGGTGTGAGCCACCGCACCCAGGGTCACCTGTTTCTCTTAACATTTTATAATGTAGCCACCAGAAATTGTGGCTTGTATAAATTTCTACTAGACAGTACTGGTTTCAGAGATTCTGAACTGGAAGCAGTACTTAGAATATTAGGAAATGGAAAGCATTTTTGGAGCAGTGGCTGGAATAATACTGCCAGTATTTGGTGAGTGAGATCTAGGGATGTCAGCATCTGCAATGTACTAGACAGGCAATGAAGAATTTAAACTGAGGATATGAAGGTTTAAAGAAAGGAAGTGACTCGTCCAAGCTCACGAAGTAGTTGATAAAAGAGTTAAACAGTAGGACTCAGGCCTCTTTGTTTTCAGTATAGTTTTGGTAGGAGAAGGAAAAGATATTATTTAATCTCTTCATTTTGAGTGCCACATCCCTGCCAAGGCAGCTGTCTTCTAATGTGTGGCATCCCTGAAGCCCACAAGGAGGGAATACTATAAGAAGCCAAGTACCGCCTTTACGGAGTCCCTGGGTCCGAGGCACATTCTGCTGGGGACATCTATTCTCCCTCACCTTGTGTTTGTGGAGGTTAAACCAGCTTCCCTGGGTAAGCTTCGGTTTGAAGTTAGACAGCCTAGATTGGAATCCAGACTCTACACTTAGCAGGGACTTGGGAAAGTCACTCTATTTCTCCAAGTCTGTTTGCTCATCTATTGTAACAGGTATGACACCCTGTGTTCAGTTGTGCTGTGGCACCTATTACACTGTTGTGTGATCTACTTATTGAGTCATTTGGCACTAAGCTTCTTGCAGGTAGAGCACTTGTTCATTCATTTACTCATTCTACAAATATTTATTGAGCACGTACTTTGTGCCAAACACTGCTCGAGACCTTGGTGTCATAGCAGTTTTAAGAACTGACAAGATTCCTTCTCTCACACAACACAGTATTTTCCAATGGAGGTAGACTGGCAGTGGACAAGTAAATAAATAATAAGCAATAAAAATATTAATGATAAGCTGCATGTATTGAGAATTTAAAGAGAGAAATTCTATCTATGAAGAGACAAGTGTCTCCTTTAGATAGAGGAAGCAGCCTGGGCAACATAGTAAGACCTCGTCTCTACTAGAAAGAAAATAGCTGGACATGGGGGTATGCACCTGGGGTCCCAGCTACTTGAGAGGCTAAGGCAGGAGGATTGCTTGAGCTCAGGAGATTGAGGTTGCAGTGATCTGTGAGTGCACCACTGTATTCCAGCCTGAGTGGACAAGAGTCTCAAAATAAAATAAATAGATAGATGAAGCTTGTCTCTGGACAGCTTTCAAGTTGAGACCCAAAAGACAAGGAGTAATGAGCCATGCAAAGGTTGGGGCCAAGAGAATTCCAGGCAGGAAATGCAAACGCCTACTTGAGGACCACACAGAAGCCTCTGCATTTGTAGCAGAGCACACAAAGGAGAGAGCATCCCGAGGAGATGGAGTGGCATTTGGAAGGGTCTACTCTGATCTCAAAGGGTTTATAAAGCAGAGTAAGAGGTCTGGATTTTGTCCCGTGTGCAAGGCTCTAAGCAATGGAAGGACATGATCTGATTTACAGTTTAAAGAGATTGCTTGGTTGCTGAGGCAAGAATGTATGGTGGTGGAATAGGAGACCCAGTTAAAAAGAAAGTGATCCAGGTAAGAGATGAGCCTGGGCTAAGAAGATAGTGTTAAGATGGAGAGAAGTGTACAAATTTAATTTATGAAGGAAAGACAGTTTTCAAGGGGAGTGCCTGTTGGACTTCTGGCTTAAAGAAGAGGGTGGGTGGATGTCCACCTATTGAGATATTGAAGATTTGGGTGGGAGTAGGTTTGGGGCATGGAAAGGAAGAGTGCTTTGGAGAACATTTCAGGTTTGAGATACCAAGAAGGCAATTTATGTTGAATGGATAAAGAAAATGTGGTCTACCCATATATAATGGAATATTACAAAGCCATATAAAGAAATGAATTACTAAATCATACTATATGGATAGACCCCAAAAGCTTTATGCTAAGTGAAAGAAGCCAGAGGCAGAAGACCACATCTTATATAATTCCATCTACATAAAATGTCTTGATTAGGCAAACCTGTAGAGACAGAGAGTAGATCAGGGTTGCCAGGGGCTGGAGGCAGGAACAGGGAGTGACTATTAGTGGGCACAAGGGATCTTTCTCTGGGGATGGAAATGTTTTCAAATTGAATTCTGTTGAGGGTTGCATAACTCCTAATACTCACTAAAAATCATTGAATCATACACTTCAAATGGGTGAATTTTACGATATATAAATTATACATCAATAATGCTATTATTTTATTTTATTTTATTTTATTTTATTTTATTTTATTTTATTTTATTTTTTTGAGATGGAGTTTCGCTCTTGTTGCCCAGGCTGTAGTGCAGTGGTGCTATCTCGCTCACCGCAACCTCCACCTCCCAGTTCAAGCGATTCTCCTTCCTCAGGCTCCCGAGTAGCTGGGATTACAGGTGCACACCACCACACCTGGCTAAGTTTTGTATTTTTAGTATAGATGGGGTTTCTCCATGTTGGTCAGGTTGGTCTCGAACTCCTGACCTCAGGTGATCTGCCCGCTTTGGCCTCCCAAAGTGCTGGGATTACAGGCATGAGCCACTGTTCCCAGCAGTAGTGCTATGTTTTTTTTTTTTTTTTTTTAAAGATGGCAGTGCATCTGAGTTTGGAATTCTAGGAAAGGGTAAGATCTGGACATAGAGTAAGGGGTTTTCTGTAAGCACTTGCAGTCGCTTTGAGAAGATGTGTAGAAAAAGAAAGCAGCCCTCGGTCTGTGTCCTGATGGCATTCCAACATTTCAAGGTTTGAGGTTGGGCAGAATGAGGAGGAGACATAAAGAGAAACTGAGGAAACTGCAGGGCAGAAAGAACACCTGGCAAGTGTGGAGTCATGAAAGTGGAGGAGAGAGCTTTGTAAGAAGGGAGCAGAGAACTGAGTAGAATGGTACGGAGAGGTCAGGTACAATAAGGGCAGTAAAGACAATTGGATTCAGCCTCAAGGAGATCCTTGTTGCCTTAAGTGTCGATCTTGACAAGAGCAGTCTCAGCCCAGGGATGAGGACAGAAGCCCAGCTGCAAAGGGGCGAGGAGGGAGTAGGAGGGAAGGAAGCAGTGGTGCCTCTACACAGCTCCTTCAGAGAATTTCATTGTAATGAAGAGCAGAGAAATGAGGATGTAGCTGGAAGGAGAAATGGGGTCAACAGAAGGGTTAAAAGCTAGGCCATGCATTTCGAGAATATGTTAATATGTTGTTGGAAATGGTCCAGAAGACAGACGAGTGGTGACGTGAGGGAGAGGGGAAACACCTGCAGAAACTAAGGCCCCCAGAAGGGCAGAGGGGATGGAACCAGGACATAAAGAGAAGGTCTGGAGGGTAGGCAGGAGGGTCTCACGGAGGCAGGCAGATGGAGAACCCATATTACTTGATTTTCTTTTCCAGTGAAGGAAATGAGAAGATCTTCAGCTGAGAATGAAGGTGGCGGCAGGGCAACAGGAGCACCTGCCTTATGGCTGATACCCTTCAGTGCCAGGCACACGGCATGGCCTCAGTCAGTCTTTGTTGCCATTAAGCACTGCAGGAGTTTTCGAACTTTGGGAAGCATAGAAGTGATTACCAGGAGTGGTTGTTAAAATGCAGATTTCTGGGTTTTTATTTCAGAGATTCTGATTCAGAAGACTCATGAAAGAGCCAAGAAATCTGCATCTTTAACCAGAGCCCCAGATGTTTCTGATGCAAGTGGCCAGCGGGCTATAGTTTGACAATCACTGAAAATATGTCTGTGAACAATAACGTGCATGAACACACCCCTACAAACAGGAGGCTTTTAATAAAGAATTAATAAGACGCAGTTCTTTTCAACAGACCGTACCTTAGGCATAATTAGATTTCATATTTCATAAATAATTAAGACCCATTGCATTTTGTTTTTAGAAATAGAGGAATGTTCTTTGGTTTAAAAAGAAAAGGCAATTAAACATTAATGTATACTTTTCTTTGCAGGGGAAAGAGCAGAATGCGGCACCACCAGGTGAGAGTGGGAGAGTCGTGTTTTCTTTCATCTGCTGCCCAAGGTGGGAGTGGGATGGGGCTGGGGAAGCACTGCTGGGAGCTGGAGAAGCAGGGATGGCTTCTTCATCAGTGTCCCCATGGGCTGGTATGGGTGTGCCCGGGTGAGGCACAGCTGCTGCTTCGCTTGTTTGAGCATTAGACTGAAAAAGCCATGCCCCTCCAGGCTGGCCATGGAAGGGGTGCTTTTGGGGCTGCTGTGTGGCAGTGGGGTACCCTCCCTTTGCGCTGGCCATCAGGTGAGACAGTAATGTCTACTAAGAGTGGCTGAGGGCAGCCTGTAGGGGCCAGAGGCTGTGGGGTGGTTGTTGACTTCTCTCCCCACCTGCTACACTGCGCTGAGCAGACTGTCCAGCCTTGGTGTGAGACCCAGCCTGAAGTCCCTACATGCCAAGGCCTTGGGCCAGACTTGGATTATGCGCAGCTGGGCACACGCATGTGCATAGGCGTGCACAGACTCCCCCGCCATCAACACCCTGGCTTGGACCTCATGGGCACTTGGATGGGCTGACAGAAAGTAACACACAAGCAACTTCTGCTTTCTCTCTAGCTTGTTCAACATCCCCTTTTGTGCTTTTCCCTGAGCAGACCAGAGCCAGTGAACACTTTCCACTCAGCAGCTGATAGCCCAGGGGCTGACTTTTCTCCCCTTTCAGAGAGCGTAGATCTGTAAGTGGCTCTGTCACCGGCCAGGTTGTTTGTTTAGAGCCTATTTAATTTCTGCATCCCCAGTAAGAGATGCTGCACTGCCTAGCTGGAATTCAGCCAGTGGCGCAGAGGCCTGCACTTTTCCATCCCATGGCAGTAGAGCGCTACTTTTTGCCTCACTTTCTGGGCCCAGGGACCTGAGGGCATTCTTTCCTTTCCCACAAATGCGTCCCAGTGGCCCCAAATCCTGGAAAACTATCATGTTTGGCAAAGCAAAGATGAACTTCCAACTCTCTCCCGCTCCTTGGGAAGGGAGTGGAGCAGAGGCTTGGAAAACCCTGGGGTTTTCAGTTTCCTGGGCTCGGGATGGGGAGATGGAGGGCTCAGCAGAAGTTTAGCCCATACAGCTGTTCCTCTGGGCTCTGGCAATTTGGAAACATCAGGATGATTCACACCAGGCGAGCCTTTCCAGCACATGGGGCGGCAGATGTGCAGGTCACTTTCGAAGAACCTTTTAGAAACAAACCCATTATAATTTTTTTTTCTGGCAAGAGAATGTTGCCATAGTCTTAAAACAACAGAAGTCATATTTTACACCAAATTCTGCAAATAGTGAAACAGACGGGGGATGAATTGAGCTGTCCCTCACTTCCTCGTAATTCCTAGAACTCACGCAGAGAAGATTGTTCCAGCAGAGTGCAGGAGAGGAAATCCATAATCAAACCCTTGGCCAGGTCTCAGGGTCCTCCCTCGGGGGAAAGTTGAGGGCTTGTTTTTTTTTGTCTTTAAAATAAAGCCCTCTGAAGTGTTGTCTTCCACACCCTCCTTGACCTGGGGCCTGGGAAATTCAAGCTGAGTTTATCAGACCTCCCGCTTAGACACCCATCATTCAACTGCAGCTACCCTGCATTAAATTGCAGACCTAGCCTTGTGTACTCTGGTTCCTGGCCAAGGTCAAAGGCAACTTTGTTAGTAAACTAAAAGTCTCCCCTTACCTCCAAAATCATTATTTAACTTGTGGAAATTGTTGCCAACAATGTCTCTGTCCGGTGGCTCTGTCTGTATCTTCCATGTGCTCCCACTCATGGTGGATATCATTTTTGGAAGGTTATTTGAGCAGGATCCCCTTAGCCAAGTTGTGTCGACCTTGTATAGAGGAATCGGATTTATGTATGGGCTACAGCATGTTATATTTTTCTCACACTTCAGAACCTTATCTTAGACCAAATTCATAATAACCCTGTAATTCAGGCTGGCCAGATGTGATAATACACTTAAATTTAAAACCATATTATTGTAAATGTCAAAGTAAAATGAAAATATAAGGTTTGATTATTGTGATTCAAATGAATGTCTGGCGCCCCTTATCCAGGTTAACATGCCCTTGCAGTCTGGATTAGAGATGAAATCACTTGAGATCTTGTCCAAACAGATGCAACACAGTACACAACCCATGCACAGCCTCCAAGGGCCCGACTGCCACCATTTGGGATGTTGACCTCCAGGTCTATTAGGTTATCTAGGGGAATTTTTCATCACATCCTTTTAGTTGCAGGATAATTTTGAGGCCATTATCTGTGTTGCCAATGTGTGTTAATTTTCATCTTGGTTAAAAGGCAGAAAGGGGACATTGGTTTCTGGTTTCTCTCTCTTCCTCTCTGTGGCTTTCTCTGTTCCTGTTTTCCCTGCCTCTCTTTCTTTCTTTCTTTCTTTCCTTTTTGCTCTGCATCTGAGCAGCAGAAGAGATGGAAGGCTTAGGCTGCCCCACTTTCCTTGGCCGAGCTGTCCCCCTGCTCCCCACTTTGTGCCCCACCCAGCACTTCAGTAAGTCGGTATAGATTTGATATTGTGCAAAGTTGGGATAGCTACGTTTCCTTGTCAGAGATTCCAGACAGTGCACAGAGCATCACACAAAGAAAGAAATCCTGGTGTGACTCACGCAGTCCTTTGCTTTCTGGGTTGGGCAGGAAAAGTGGGAAAACATATTCTATTTTGCCTTTATTCCTTTTTGTAAAATTTAAGAAAAAACAAAAACATTTAGGACTTTCTTTTAAGGAAATCCTCCAGTTGGACACCTTAGGTTTTTTGATATTAAATGTCCAACACCTGCTTTAAGAGTCTCCGTTCTTGCTGGCCATGAGAATTTAACAGATAATTTAATGTTACTTCTGGGTGTTCTTTGATAAAATCACTTTCGTACTCACACTAGAGCCTTGAGAGTAGGAAGAGCTGAATTTACCCCCAGCTTCAATCACATTTTATTGTGTGACCTTAGGCAAGTTTCTTCACCTCTTGTGGGCTCATTGACCTTGTATGTAAAGTGAATTGAATATTCTTTCTCAACCTCACAGGGTTGTTGTGAGGCTATCATGCAATGTGATAAGGAAATGATCTGGGAACGTTCAAAAACAAAACCAAACACTGAAAACTGGGTGACAATGTTGCTATCCTCAAGTTATTTCTAATCCCCCAGTTAAAAACTTATGGCCTTGTGTCACATTTTTGGCACTCTCTTTTACCTTTGGCATTTGAAAATTTAAGAGCAGGTCCTGTAAGAAACCCCACCCTCCACACATACATCCTCAAAAATAAGTAATTTTTGAAAGACAAATGACATGGACTTAGCTAACCAAATTGACATAGATCCAAGATGGGCTTGAAATAATCTTGCCTGTTGTTTCTTTTCAAAATTTTGATCTGTGCTATTATTTTGTTTCCATTGTTTGGGTGGCATGATATTTGGATTCACTTGGTTTTTGCCCATGCATCTACTGGAGCTAGCAGCATTTGCTCAATACTCAAACACCTAGGAGAAGTTGGTTGCTGGTCCCTGGATGGCTGGGCTTCTGAAGGAGACAGGTACAACGAGCCCAGTCAGCAGAGGCAGCGTGAATCTCATTTATCCTGATTGGCTGCATAGTCCAGAAGATTTCTTGCCCACTCACAGAAATCAGTCAAGATTTGGGGGACCAGGTCTTTGCTTGTCATATGTGGACATGATCTGTGCCTGGCTGAGTCCACACTTGTTGCTATCCAAATTTTGAACCAAGCCATTTGAAAATGAACTGCCTCTCTTAGTTAGGGGCCCTCTTCTTAACCTTAAAAAGCCCTTTGCTCCAGGAGGCTGGCACCATTGAGTCTGGCCAACTTGTGTGGTGAAATGAGCAAATAAGCCTACACAGGTATATGCATGGTGAGCAATTCTGGAAACAGGTCCAGTGTTTGTGGCTGTTTCACTGGTGAACTGTGTTGTGGTTACCCCTCCCTGTGGCCAAGAGTGGAGTATACTTTAGGAATGAAAATCCTAAAGTAAAGCAAGACACTTTCAACCTGATCCCATGGCAAAGGTTACTGGGATAGATGAGTCCTTGGCTGTAAATAAAAAAAGTGCTCTAAGGCTCCATGATGGTGACCTGGTAGGAGAAACCCTGAACTTGGAGCCAAAGAGTTTCAGGTCCCGCTGTCAGTTCTCCTTCAGAGGAGGCTTCAGTTTCTGCCTCTGTAAAATGGGGCCACAAATTCAGGGTTGAGGTGATGTTAAGAATAATAACAGATTTGAAAGTGCTTTAATTGAAAGTGTGCATGAGGCCAGGTGCAGTGGCTCACTCCTGTAAATCCCAGCACTTTGGGAGGCCGAGATGGGCGGATCTAGAGATCAGGAGTTTGAGACCAGCCTGGCCAACATAGTGAAACCCCATCTGTACTAAAGATACAAAAAATTAGCTGGGCCTGGTGTTGTGCACCTGTAATCCCAGGTACTTAGGAAGCTGAGTCAGGAGAATTGCTTGAATGCAGGAGGTGGAAGTGGCAGTGAGCCGAGATCACACCATTGCATCCCAGCCTGGGCTACAGGGTGAGATTTCGTCTCAAAAAAAAAAAAAAAAAATGTGTACTTGACTAAAGAACAGGATAGTACCATCATCCTGGGCCACCCGGGAACCCCAAAGAAGTTATAGTCTCCCTCATGGCATCAGTTTCTTCATCTCTGAAATGAGAATGGTAATTGCCTGGCTCTTAGATCAATGAAATAAAGATTAGTCAAGTGCATTTGAAATGCCAAGAGGCATTAGGAAGATCAGTGCCCTGGTACATCGGAAGTTGAGACTTGGTGATAAATTTAAGCCAAAATAATGAAAATTAACCCTCACAATCATGTTTGAAAGTCTCTTGCTTTCTCGGGCTGCAGATTACATCTCTCTCCCCTGATTCCCGCTCCATCTGGTCAGCTTTGCAGGATGACAGCTTCTGATTGGAGTTTCAATGGTTTCTTGCACATGTACTATTTTCCCCCTAAGATTTAGAATGCATTTGCATTATGTAAGAGTTGCTCCTGCTTGGCATCGTGGGTAAATTAAGATCCCCTAAAACATCCAAAGGCCTTCAGATGGAACATTGGAAACCAATGTCTTGGCAGGGGGTTAGGGGCTTCCATTTATGTTTTGTGTTCTCCTTTAGTTGTGGGTTTTAAGAGCATCTTTCCCAGTTGTATGTTTATGTTGGTTGCTTTCTTGATTTCTTTTGTTCCGTTTTCCCCTAGGCCCCCCTGTCTTCCCCCTAAACCACAGAAAATGAGGAGACCTAGGCCTCTCTCAGTGTATAGCCATAAACTCTTTAACGGCAGTATGGAAGCATTCATTAAGGTACTTGCTGGGGAGCCGTGGAGTCCGCGAATGTGCCCAATGTAATGGCAGCCTCTGTCCACCCGCCTCCCTGCCAGCAGACAGCCCTATCCTTGGCCAGGCCCTGTGGAGCTAGTTCCTCGCTGCAGCCTGCTCTTGGCTTTGGCGAGGACTTTTCACAGGAGCCGCTGTGGCCTCTAACCAGTTGCTCCTAAAGTGCCCTGTGCAGTTCTCAGCCCTGGAGTAGGGATCAGATCATGATGGAACCCAGCGAAGTCCAAGTGGGGCTGAAATACCAGTGCAGCGCGCCCAGCCAGCTACGCTTCATTGCTTCAGCAACTGCAGTCCTAACACCTGAGGGACAGTCAGAGAAACCCTATTCCCTCACTTCACACCCACATCTCCCAGGAGGAGCTGAATTGAAAGCAACACAGAGGAAATCCCTGTGGGTATCAGTGTGTTTTTAAACATGTGATTTTTTTTAGTTACATATATATATCAGCAAAGGAAACACATACAATTTTTATGAGAGAAAATCCTCCTACCTAGTTTTGCTTCCTGTTAGGTGGTTTGGGAGAAGGGAGAAGAGTTGAGGTTGTCCCTATTGAATTCTAGGTTAACCCTTTATACCTTAAACTAAAAATTAAAGTAGTTCAGCTAAGTGAGTTTCTCTTTTCTTTCCTCTTTGGTGTAAAGGTTATGAGATCAAGCCATATCAGATATAATGGCTCAAGGGAAATTAAGATGATAACGGAGAGGCAAAGAGTGGGAAGATGCTTTAGGAAGCGGAGAAGCACTCTTAACATTACTTAGAGGAAGGGGGGAGGTCCCTGCAACTGATTTGAGAGCCCACTACCTTCTAATGAAGACATTCTCTGCAGAGAAGATGATAGATACCAATCAAGAGCGAAAACAAAGGCTCTTGAGCTTTGCCAATGACTTTGGAGTTATGGAGGATGCTCGTGTTCCGGCTCTCTACTCATGGTTCTCAGACAGGGGCCAGCACAGGACTTGCAGGACAGCAAGAGACTGGATATGGGTTTGGCCTTAGGCAGGGGAGAGGGTAAGCAAGACCAGCCTGGGTCCCCGGACTGTCTCTGTCTGTGGGCTGAGTTCTGGGGAAGGGAGAGTGGGGGGAAGGGAAAATGGAAGACTAGAGCCCAAGTGGGGACTGCCCAGGCGTGAGGGATGTCAAGGGCTGCTGTAGGATGCCTAACAAGACCGAAGCATGGAGGATTCCCAAAAGGATAGGCCCATGGGTACATTAGGAAGGAAGATCAAGAGGTGACCCAGAGGGAGTGGTTTATTGGTCATGGGAGGGTGGGGCTGTGCCAAAGGAATCCTCCGTCTCCATCCTCCTTTCTGTCTCCTCTAAGACTTTCTTCTTTCACCTTTGCCCCTAAAAAATTCACAGTCCATGGCCAAGAGGGGACTAGTTACTCTCCCCTCCCTCAAGAAGCCTGTAGTGGAGCTTGGGAGATATTAAATGCAAAAGGCAGAAAGTGGAAGGTGATTCAAGATGAGCACCTAGTGAGTTATCCCCACAAAAGCAAGTTCAGGACAGGTGTGGTGGCTCACACTTGTAATCCTAGTACTTTGGGAGGCTGAGGTAGGAGGATGGCTTGAGCCTGGGAGGTCAAGGCTGCAGTGAGCTATAAGCCTGGGAGGTCAAGCTGCAGTGAGCTATAATCGTGCCACTACACTCCTGCCTGGGTGACAGAGTGAGACCCTGTCTCAAAAATAACAACAAAACAAGTTTAGAGCAAGAAGAGCTATGAACTCAAGCACAGGAGGCTTCTGGAGGGGCTTTGAAGGAAAGTTGGGAATAAAAAGAAGAAAAGGGCAGAAGGAATTATTGAAAGGAGGAACAGAAGGAATGAAGGCTCAGAGACAGGGATATCCTCAGTTTGCTTAGGTCTTTGGAAATGAGTCATCAGTCAGGATACTTAGAAGGAATCCACTCTTATCTGACAGTACTTGACAAGTAGGTGTTCTGTTGAATTAGATATTTATAGGTCCGACATATCAGATGTGACTATAAAGTAATCTGACTTTACTCCTTCTGACCAACACATCAGAACCTAGTCAACCACATGAGTGTTTGCCCCTTTGAGGCAGTCACCTTGGGAAGCCACCTTCTTACCTGAATATGTTGGCATTGCTGCAGCTGCTTTGGTCAATCTTCTTTAGAGCCTTAAGCTTGGCCTTTACCAGTGTGGCCAAGACTTTGTATTCGAATGGACACCTTGTCTTTGGAATAGAAAACTCCATTTGGAAGCTGAGCTTTGTGATGCCATTGGAGGTGCAAAATGGCAAGAGGAATTGCTACAGTGGGACTGTTTCCCTGGCCCCTAAAAGAGCCCTCAAGCAGCACCAGCCCAGAGCACTCGAGCAGTGGCAGCACTGTTAGAAAAATGCAATTAAAAAAAAAAAAAAGAAAAAAAGAATAAGTGCATCACCTCCTAAGGGGAAAAGTTGGAGGAATAATACTCATTTGACTGGGAAAAAAGGTGTGTTTGTTAAATACTATTTAATTAATTAATTAATTCATTCATTCATCTATTGAGGCAGAATCTTGCTCTATCACCCAGGCTCCAGTGCAGTGGTACAGTCACGACTCACTGTAGCTTTGATCTTCTGTGCTCAAGTGATCCTCCTACCTCAGCCTCCTGAGTGGCTGGGGCTATAGCATGGCTATACACCATGCCTGGCTAATTAAAAAAAATTTTTTTTGTAGAGACAGGGTCTTACTATGTTGACCAGGCTGATCTTGAACTCCTGGGCCCAAGGGATCCTTTTGCCTTGGCCTCCCAAAGTGCCAGGATTACAGGCATGCACCACTGCACCTGGCCTTACTATTGCATTGCTTTATAGTCACACTGTCCTCATCAGATACTATCAGTGCAGTTCCACAAACTCATACTGTGCACCTACTATCAGCTAGGTGGTCAATGTTTTACAGCACAGTTTTACTTTGAAATATTATTAACTTTCAGAGAATGCAAAGGCAGCGTAATGTATTCAATCCTTCAACTATCGAGAAAGAATTTAATTTTCTATTATAATTCGCATGCCTTCTGAAAGAACATTGAACTGAGTCCCCAGCTTTGAAAAACCACACCTGTGAAAAATTTTTCAATAAAATAACACCTCTGGGCTCTACAATTATGATGGTTTAGAGGGACAAGGAAGCATCCTCAGGTTAATAATAATAAGTAAATGTTGCTAGGGTTTGATTTATACATTTCTAGGACCCTACCTGAATAAACAAATCCCTTTCAAAATCCTTGATGTTTTTTCCTCCTCTCAGACAAAACGAGGCCTCATTTTTGAAGCCCAAGAGATTCACCTCTGGGACAAGGGGAGAATCCTCATCCTGTTTCTGTAAAATAAGCATGATAATTACCTACTTCATGAGTTTGTGAGGAGCATTAAATGAGCCCATATATGTTATGTTTCTAGAGCACTGGATGGCACATAGTAAGCACTATGTATTACCTATGGTGATTAGCATTAATTTTAGCATATTGCTCCTAGAGCCTGTTAGACCAGGCTGTTTGCTCAGTTCTGGGATTCTGGTAGGTTTAGTCAGCATGTCAGGTAGCAGACAATTCCAGTTGTTGAGATGCTGAGACTGTACAGATGATGCTAGCTAGAAGGCACACATCTTCTAGGAGCCTGGATGGAATAAGTGCTCACCCTAGAGATGGACCTGCTGCACAGATGGAAAAAAACAGACAGCACTCCTCTGAAAATGGGCATCATCAGTGGCTTTTAGTGAAAGTAAAGGCTCCAGTTCTGTCCCCAAGTTCATGAAGGCATTCTGACTCAACTTTCCTCCCTCCTCCAGGCCTTTCTCAGCTTTTGCATTCCTTAATGCCAGTGTAAGGATCAAGAGGGTAGGAAGGAGAGCAAAGCCAAGTGGATACCCAAGAAAAGCAACTTAGGGTGTATGGTAGGGACACATGGGAAGCTGTTTGGAATTTGGTGTCAGGTGGAATCCTATGGGCCTCTATTGAGAAGGCACCTTGTAGACATGATCTTGTTAGAACTGAACTTTTTACCAGGAATGAGGTTTCTTGAGCTGAATTCCAGAGACACTGTTCCAGTGGACATAATGGTCTACTTCTCTGCTTTTTGTGGGCAGCTGGGAGTACCTTACGGGGTAGTAGGTAGGCTTTTGTCCATGGGCACAAGAACAGTCTCTTTTGTTGAAGAGAAGCTAGGTACGGGAATGGGAATGGGTCCAGTCCACATAGTTGCTGCTCTTTCACAAGGACTGAAAGAGGCCCCCCATGTCAGCTGGTATCTGGGAGGATAGCTAAGGCAGCCATGTGGGAAAGCTGGCTGGGTGGCTTCCAGAAGCCCCATGAGGCTCCCAGGCTTGGGGGTGGCCCTCCCCACAGGCCGGCTGTTTGGCAGGCTCCCCAGGACCTTGGCTGGCTGCCATTGCATTTCAGCGTTCACGGACTCTGAAGGATCTGCTTACTTTAACTGATCTTGTTCCTGCATAATCTTTTCTTTTTCTCCTGCTCTGCTGCCTGTTTATTTTTTGTTATCAGAGGAAGAAGAAATGCTCGAACCAGGAACCAGGTATTTACTAGAAAGGCCCGTTAGCCCCATTCATCGCGATGGAAACTGTCTTTAGTAGTGAATTCCAGAATACAGCCCACCTTACCTGTTGCTGATGGGTCCACATTCTTGTCCTCTCCCTGGGCACAATCAGTCAAGGAAAAAATTCACAGGTGGGGTGTGGAGGAGCCAAGAACGTATCCAAATCTATACTGTCTTCACAAGAGCATATTACATGTACCTCTTTGCTTACTTACCTTGTGAGGAGGCTGGGCATTTAATTCAGCCCCTTTTAAAGAAAGTTTAAAAGAATTTGATGCCCTTTAAGTGACGTGGAATAACAGAGAGGTCAACCGATCGTGGAATCAAAAGAAAATGTCTCCCACCCTCCACAATCATTTGTGGCTGCAGACCAGTTTAGGAAGATGTCATTGAAAATACATTCACGTCCCAGGTGCACATGTGGAGAATTGCATCTTATTCAGCCTTTTAAACAAAGGTTGGCCCCTAGATGGCCAACGGCTGACATTGGCTGCCTCTGGAGCTTTTCCCTGTGACATGTTTACTGTGAAACGCAGTATGCATCTGGGTGTTTAGTTGTGACTTCATGAGTAGAACTGGTCTTCCCTTCGTAGAGTTCAAAATTTTCATCAGGGGCCAGCCTTGCTTCTCCCATGTCCTCTTAATTCTGGACTTGATCCTTGAGCACTGGGAAAATAGCAATGAGTTAAGACAAAGTGGAGGGGGAGGCAGAGAACTCTTCAAGGCCAGACTCCAGCCCCCTCTATATGGTGGTTCCCTCTCCATTGCCCAAGTGGGCCTACCAGGCCTCCTGAGCGCAGGTTCCTTACCAACTGGGTAAGAAGACAGAGCATTTCTTTAAAATGATCATAGCTATGCCTTTTTGTGCACACAGCTGAAGGCTCTCTATTGTAACTGTCTGTGGAGACTTTAGGATTAGCAGTTCCTTGCTTGTTTTCCTACTAATCTGATGGTACTAATATTCTGGCTTGAGTCTGTAATCTGTGTTTGCAATTTCTTTTTCCTGTGGTGGTTGTCAAGTCTCATAAAACTCACAATTTTTCTTTTCTTAAGGATTCAGGACAAGCTATACCACTTGTAGTCGAGAGCTGCATCCGATACATCAATTTATATGGTAAGCTGGATCTTGGGCCAGTGTTTTCAGCAATCTGCAGAACAGGTGCTAGGCTGTTCTGATAGGAAATGAGAGTCTAATTCGTCCTGGAAGACATCCCATCATGGCTCTGCTTTTTAGGGGAAAATACGGCATGCAGCAGCTGCTCTTCTGAGTGCTGCTTCTGAGCCTGTGTGTTGGGGGATGGAGATCATGGTAAGAGGATCCAAGACCTAAGAAAATGAGAGTAGAAACGGCATGGACAAGATAACTCAACCCTATAGCTCTGTGCTTTGAGGACTGAATGGAGTTGGCCAATAAATCAGCTATTACTACTAGATTATAAGCTCCATGAAGGTATTACGTTGATGCAAAAGTAATTTTTGCTATTAGTTTTGAATGGCAAAACTGCAACTACTTTTGCACATGGTGTCTGAGATTTGTTAGCCGTGGTATCACCAAAACATAACTGGTGTTTGTCCACTCCTTCATTTCTCTAAAACTATATTTATTGAGTGCATAATAGGCACTGCTTTGGACAATGGGAATATAGGCATGAACAAGACAGGTGCAGTGCCTGCCCTGCATAGCTTATATTTCCAATGAAAAGGGCAAGGAGATTATCAAGTGGAAAAATAAATAATATCATTTGAGATAGTGAAAATACCATGAAGCTAATTAAAAGGGGATAGAGAATGGCTGGAGGGGAGGGGAGGTGCTTTGGCTAAGGTGGCGAGGAGAGATGTCTCCAAGGGGGTGATGTTTGAATTAGGTGGTACCTGAGTAGAAGCAGCCAGCTATGCAGTCCAGGTGGAGAGAATGGAGGATGACGAGTGGAAAGGCCTAGTGTGGGGAGGAAGGTCAGTGTGGCTGGGTGGTAAGGAGCCAGGAGGATGGACTCAGAGACTTGGGCACTAGAAGTTCAATATTGTTTAACTAAAGAGAGGAATAAGCATTTATTGAGGCCATACTATGTACAAACCAAACTTTGATCAAAGCCTGCCTTTGAGAGTAAACACTCCCTAAATTGTCATGTGGAAAATGGTTTTATATAGAAAAATAGAGATAGGGAAAGTATCACAGGCTCCCCCATTAATTCCCATTTAAGTGGAAACAGACCCTTTAATTCGTTCAGCTGTGCAAGCCGCTGTTATGTCATTACTGTCTTTTCAGGTATAAGGGTCTCCTCTTTGTTAAGGCCTTGTAGAAACATGTAAAAAAATAAGATTGTTTTACTTAATAATTTAATCTCTCCCAAGTCCAAGCCAGAATGTACCCTAGAGTCTAGCTTTTCTGGAAGGCAGAACATGTCTGTATACAGGGAAGGAAAGGTATTGATACAAACTTCTTGTGGCCTTTTCCTTTAAGCTCAAACAGAAGATCACAAATGTATAAAGCAGATGTGTCTGAGGATTTTGGCCAGCTGCACTTCACTGTGAAGTCCATTTTTGGAGACCTTTGTAGGGAATGACTCTGTTATAAAGGATAGGGGGGAGAAAGGGAAAAGCAATGGGGAGAGTCACCGATATTCTTGATGGTCTAATGAACTCGAGATCTCATGGATTTATTATTTCTTTTTTGTGTCCTTCTTTTTCAGGACTCCAGCAGCAGGGGATCTTCAGAGTGCCAGGTTCTCAGGTGGAAGTCAATGACATCAAAAATTCCTTTGAGAGAGGTGGGTACAGAGCGACCATCTTAAGCTTGTGCTAGGGGAAACCAGGGTGAACACTCACATGTGTCTTGGAGCTAGTGGTGTGCAGGAGCTGGCCTGCAGTGGTTTGCAGGAGCTGATTGTGCANTAAAAAAAAAAAAAAGAAAAAAAGAATAAGTGCATCACCTCCTAAGGGGAAAAGTTGGAGGAATAATACTCATTTGACTGGGAAAAAAGGTGTGTTTGTTAAATACTATTTAATTAATTAATTAATTCATTCATTCATCTATTGAGGCAGAATCTTGCTCTATCACCCAGGCTCCAGTGCAGTGGTACAGTCACGACTCACTGTAGCTTTGATCTTCTGTGCTCAAGTGATCCTCCTACCTCAGCCTCCTGAGTGGCTGGGGCTATAGCATGGCTATACACCATGCCTGGCTAATTAAAAAAAATTTTTTTTGTAGAGACAGGGTCTTACTATGTTGACCAGGCTGATCTTGAACTCCTGGGCCCAAGGGATCCTTTTGCCTTGGCCTCCCAAAGTGCCAGGATTACAGGCATGCACCACTGCACCTGGCCTTACTATTGCATTGCTTTATAGTCACACTGTCCTCATCAGATACTATCAGTGCAGTTCCACAAACTCATACTGTGCACCTACTATCAGCTAGGTGGTCAATGTTTTACAGCACAGTTTTACTTTGAAATATTATTAACTTTCAGAGAATGCAAAGGCAGCGTAATGTATTCAATCCTTCAACTATCGAGAAAGAATTTAATTTTCTATTATAATTCGCATGCCTTCTGAAAGAACATTGAACTGAGTCCCCAGCTTTGAAAAACCACACCTGTGAAAAATTTTTCAATAAAATAACACCTCTGGGCTCTACAATTATGATGGTTTAGAGGGACAAGGAAGCATCCTCAGGTTAATAATAATAAGTAAATGTTGCTAGGGTTTGATTTATACATTTCTAGGACCCTACCTGAATAAACAAATCCCTTTCAAAATCCTTGATGTTTTTTCCTCCTCTCAGACAAAACGAGGAGCCAGTTTTGAAGCCCAAGAGATTCACCTCTGGGACAAGGGGAGAATCCTCATCCTGTTTCTGTAAAATAAGCATGATAATTACCTACTTCATGAGTTTGTGAGGAGCATTAAATGAGCCCATATATGTTATGTTTCTAGAGCACTGGATGGCACATAGTAAGCACTATGTATTACCTATGGTGATTAGCATTAATTTTAGCATATTGCTCCTAGAGCCTGTTAGACCAGGCTGTTTGCTCAGTTCTGGGATTCTGGTAGGTTTAGTCAGCATGTCAGGTAGCAGACAATTCCAGTTGTTGAGATGCTGAGACTGTACAGATGATGCTAGCTAGAAGGCACACATCTTCTAGGAGCCTGGATGGAATAAGTGCTCACCCTAGAGATGGACCTGCTGCACAGATGGAAAAAAACAGACAGCACTCCTCTGAAAATGGGCATCATCAGTGGCTTTTAGTGAAAGTAAAGGCTCCAGTTCTGTCCCCAAGTTCATGAAGGCATTCTGACTCAACTTTCCTCCCTCCTCCAGGCCTTTCTCAGCTTTTGCATTCCTTAATGCCAGTGTAAGGATCAAGAGGGTAGGAAGGAGAGCAAAGCCAAGTGGATACCCAAGAAAAGCAACTTAGGGTGTATGGTAGGGACACATGGGAAGCTGTTTGGAATTTGGTGTCAGGTGGAATCCTATGGGCCTCTATTGAGAAGGCACCTTGTAGACATGATCTTGTTAGAACTGAACTTTTTACCAGGAATGAGGTTTCTTGAGCTGAATTCCAGAGACACTGTTCCAGTGGACATAATGGTCTACTTCTCTGCTTTTTGTGGGCAGCTGGGAGTACCTTACGGGGTAGTAGGTAGGCTTTTGTCCATGGGCACAAGAACAGTCTCTTTTGTTGAAGAGAAGCTAGGTACGGGAATGGGAATGGGTCCAGTCCACATAGTTGCTGCTCTTTCACAAGGACTGAAAGAGGCCCCCCATGTCAGCTGGTATCTGGGAGGATAGCTAAGGCAGCCATGTGGGAAAGCTGGCTGGGTGGCTTCCAGAAGCCCCATGAGGCTCCCAGGCTTGGGGGTGGCCCTCCCCACAGGCCGGCTGTTTGGCAGGCTCCCCAGGACCTTGGCTGGCTGCCATTGCATTTCAGCGTTCACGGACTCTGAAGGATCTGCTTACTTTAACTGATCTTGTTCCTGCATAATCTTTTCTTTTTCTCCTGCTCTGCTGCCTGTTTATTTTTTGTTATCAGAGGAAGAAGAAATGCTCGAACCAGGAACCAGGTATTTACTAGAAAGGCCCGTTAGCCCCATTCATCGCGATGGAAACTGTCTTTAGTAGTGAATTCCAGAATACAGCCCACCTTACCTGTTGCTGATGGGTCCACATTCTTGTCCTCTCCCTGGGCACAATCAGTCAAGGAAAAAATTCACAGGTGGGGTGTGGAGGAGCCAAGAACGTATCCAAATCTATACTGTCTTCACAAGAGCATATTACATGTACCTCTTTGCTTACTTACCTTGTGAGGAGGCTGGGCATTTAATTCAGCCCCTTTTAAAGAAAGTTTAAAAGAATTTGATGCCCTTTAAGTGACGTGGAATAACAGAGAGGTCAACCGATCGTGGAATCAAAAGAAAATGTCTCCCACCCTCCACAATCATTTGTGGCTGCAGACCAGTTTAGGAAGATGTCATTGAAAATACATTCACGTCCCAGGTGCACATGTGGAGAATTGCATCTTATTCAGCCTTTTAAACAAAGGTTGGCCCCTAGATGGCCAACGGCTGACATTGGCTGCCTCTGGAGCTTTTCCCTGTGACATGTTTACTGTGAAACGCAGTATGCATCTGGGTGTTTAGTTGTGACTTCATGAGTAGAACTGGTCTTCCCTTCGTAGAGTTCAAAATTTTCATCAGGGGCCAGCCTTGCTTCTCCCATGTCCTCTTAATTCTGGACTTGATCCTTGAGCACTGGGAAAATAGCAATGAGTTAAGACAAAGTGGAGGGGGAGGCAGAGAACTCTTCAAGGCCAGACTCCAGCCCCCTCTATATGGTGGTTCCCTCTCCATTGCCCAAGTGGGCCTACCAGGCCTCCTGAGCGCAGGTTCCTTACCAACTGGGTAAGAAGACAGAGCATTTCTTTAAAATGATCATAGCTATGCCTTTTTGTGCACACAGCTGAAGGCTCTCTATTGTAACTGTCTGTGGAGACTTTAGGATTAGCAGTTCCTTGCTTGTTTTCCTACTAATCTGATGGTACTAATATTCTGGCTTGAGTCTGTAATCTGTGTTTGCAATTTCTTTTTCCTGTGGTGGTTGTCAAGTCTCATAAAACTCACAATTTTTCTTTTCTTAAGGATTCAGGACAAGCTATACCACTTGTAGTCGAGAGCTGCATCCGATACATCAATTTATATGGTAAGCTGGATCTTGGGCCAGTGTTTTCAGCAATCTGCAGAACAGGTGCTAGGCTGTTCTGATAGGAAATGAGAGTCTAATTCGTCCTGGAAGACATCCCATCATGGCTCTGCTTTTTAGGGGAAAATACGGCATGCAGCAGCTGCTCTTCTGAGTGCTGCTTCTGAGCCTGTGTGTTGGGGGATGGAGATCATGGTAAGAGGATCCAAGACCTAAGAAAATGAGAGTAGAAACGGCATGGACAAGATAACTCAACCCTATAGCTCTGTGCTTTGAGGACTGAATGGAGTTGGCCAATAAATCAGCTATTACTACTAGATTATAAGCTCCATGAAGGTATTACGTTGATGCAAAAGTAATTTTTGCTATTAGTTTTGAATGGCAAAACTGCAACTACTTTTGCACATGGTGTCTGAGATTTGTTAGCCGTGGTATCACCAAAACATAACTGGTGTTTGTCCACTCCTTCATTTCTCTAAAACTATATTTATTGAGTGCATAATAGGCACTGCTTTGGACAATGGGAATATAGGCATGAACAAGACAGGTGCAGTGCCTGCCCTGCATAGCTTATATTTCCAATGAAAAGGGCAAGGAGATTATCAAGTGGAAAAATAAATAATATCATTTGAGATAGTGAAAATACCATGAAGCTAATTAAAAGGGGATAGAGAATGGCTGGAGGGGAGGGGAGGTGCTTTGGCTAAGGTGGCGAGGAGAGATGTCTCCAAGGGGGTGATGTTTGAATTAGGTGGTACCTGAGTAGAAGCAGCCAGCTATGCAGTCCAGGTGGAGAGAATGGAGGATGACGAGTGGAAAGGCCTAGTGTGGGGAGGAAGGTCAGTGTGGCTGGGTGGTAAGGAGCCAGGAGGATGGACTCAGAGACTTGGGCACTAGAAGTTCAATATTGTTTAACTAAAGAGAGGAATAAGCATTTATTGAGGCCATACTATGTACAAACCAAACTTTGATCAAAGCCTGCCTTTGAGAGTAAACACTCCCTAAATTGTCATGTGGAAAATGGTTTTATATAGAAAAATAGAGATAGGGAAAGTATCACAGGCTCCCCCATTAATTCCCATTTAAGTGGAAACAGACCCTTTAATTCGTTCAGCTGTGCAAGCCGCTGTTATGTCATTACTGTCTTTTCAGGTATAAGGGTCTCCTCTTTGTTAAGGCCTTGTAGAAACATGTAAAAAAATAAGATTGTTTTACTTAATAATTTAATCTCTCCCAAGTCCAAGCCAGAATGTACCCTAGAGTCTAGCTTTTCTGGAAGGCAGAACATGTCTGTATACAGGGAAGGAAAGGTATTGATACAAACTTCTTGTGGCCTTTTCCTTTAAGCTCAAACAGAAGATCACAAATGTATAAAGCAGATGTGTCTGAGGATTTTGGCCAGCTGCACTTCACTGTGAAGTCCATTTTTGGAGACCTTTGTAGGGAATGACTCTGTTATAAAGGATAGGGGGGAGAAAGGGAAAAGCAATGGGGAGAGTCACCGATATTCTTGATGGTCTAATGAACTCGAGATCTCATGGATTTATTATTTCTTTTTTGTGTCCTTCT